CTCGGCGCCCGTTTACACCGGCTTGGAGTCTAGCCCCGACATGGGGGCAAAACAAATTCCCGTATTTAATGATCCTGCTGCTTCCCCCGAGCCCGCGTTTGCACGTTTCTCCGGAGCTTCGTCCCCACTGTCTTGCGATTCCGTTCTCAGTTTGCACCCCTGTGAATCCGGAGTGACTCCCCCCCCAGAGGAGTGACTCCGAATTCACACGGCCAAGAGCCGCTCCAATTTCTCGTTAGCCCTCGCTGTTGGTGCTGGGTTTTCTGGGTTTGTTGACGGGGGCCGGGAATACTTGGGGTTTCCCTAGCGCGGCGTCCCCAATTGATCCCGGATTGAAATCGAAACGAATCCAGGCGAGCTCAGTTTCCCGGGGGACCGAGCAGCATCTGCCCTCCCCCCTCTTCCGCCCACCCTGCCGAAGAGTTTGTCAATTCCCAGCAGGCAAACCTCCCCTCGGCTCGGCTCCCCGCGCAGGGAAAGGGAATGCGGGGAAGACAGAGAGAGGGCGAATGGGAACCACATGCGGCAGAAAAGGGGGGGGGGTCTGGAATGAGGGACCAATCATCACCCACGTGAGAGAGGGGGCAGACCCCAACTCAGCCCAGGGAACTGTGGGGGTGGGGCTGAGCTCCATCCATCCGAATTGAGCTTTGCGTCGGAGCTGGATCGGATCGAATCTGCTTTGCCCCCTGCCCTAGTGTCTCCGTGTGAATGTGCCCTAGGGCTGGGAAAGCGAGGCAGCTGCGCCCCCCTGGTGGCAGGGGTGACTCACCCTGGACCCAGATCACTGCGGCGTGTGCACGGGTCGGGTTCGAACTGTTCTACTTCCGAGCAGTAGCTGCAGAACCAAGAATACACGCAGCTTCCCTTGGGCCAGATTGGGCTGGAAATCCGGAATAAGGGGCGATGCCGAGCCCTGCATTGGGCATGTCTACACTAGGGAGCGATTTCAAAATGACTCCCCTTATTTCGAAATCAAGGGTTTGTTATTTCAAAAGAATGCCCCGAAATAGCGCAGCAGAGTAGACAAAGGGGAGCTGAGTTGGCCCAGTCATTGCAGGAACAGCTGTGGGTGATGGAAGTTTCTGTTTCTGTAGCTACTAGAGAGTCCGAGAGACGGAAAGGCTGGATTCTGTTCTAAACACGTAGGAATCGGAAATAACATTCATTTACAGAGATGGCGCAGAGGCAGGGTGTGGCCCAATGAAAGCAAAGGGAACAGAGTGCACGTCCAGGGAGATGGAGCCGCATTCTGCTTTACACTGGGTTAAATCTGGATTAGCTCTGAATTTGTATGTCTGTAACTGACAGCGGAATGTGGCTTAATGAGAGCAAACGCAGCTCCGTGTACTATTGTTATGCGCTAGGGAGCCAGGGCCGGGTCCTGTTTCCAGTCACACGTCTGCAAATTTGGAGTCAGTCCGGATTCACTCCAGCATGGAGCAAAACTTGGCCCTGTGTCTAATGCCCAGCAGCTGACTCTTGGCCCCGGCTAGGGTTGCCAGGTGTCCGGTTTTCACCTGGACAGTCCAGTATTTTCCGGCTCCACGGGTAAAAAAACCAGAAAATACCAGACATGTGCAATGTCCCCTATTTCCTGTTTCTCTGGGCCAGAAGCCGGGTGGGGACAATTTTCCTCTGGTGGGGGTGGGGGAGTGAGGAGTGCAGCAGAGTCATAGCGAAGGGGGGCAGGAGGGGGCACTTGCTGGGCGCCATGCTGGGGGGGCAACGGGCTGGGGTGGGAGCGAAGCGCATGCTGCTCTGGCCCACATGACCTGCGAACTTATCTGGCCATCCCATTCCTCCGGTGCCTGGCGGCTAAGGGGGATGCCTGGCTGGGGGCAGAGGGAGTGCACTGGGATGGGGGGCACTGGGGGGACTGGGTGTGAGGCAGGGGTGAGTGCACTGGGATGGGGGGCACTGGGGGGACTGGGTGTGAGTCAGGGGTGAGTGCATTGGGATGGGGGACGCTGCGGGAGGCCTGTCTCAGAGGGAGGGGTGGTGCATTTTGGGTTAGTGTGTGGTCCCAAACTGGAGGGAGTGGTGCACCTTTTGCTTAATAACTTTGGTCTCCCCCCTTTTTTTCCTCAACAGAATTTTTCCCAGCATCTTTTTTTTTGGGGGGGGGGAGGTGTTCGGTATTTTTTGTTAACCCATCTGGCAACCCTAGCCCAGGCTGTACCTGTGTCTGGGTCAGCCCCAGCTGCGCCGCCAGTTCCGCTCTTTCCGGGAGGGCCAGGTACTGGGTTTGCTGGAAGCGCTGGTTGAGTGCCTGGAGCTGCAGACTGGAGTAGATGGTGCGGGGCTTGCGCATTTTCTTCCCTTTGCCGTTGATGCGGATCTCACCATTCTCGATTACGGTGACTTTCTCCTGCTCTGGGATCAAAGGGCTTGGTTAGGCGTCTGCAGCCGGAGTCTGGAGACTGGAGGGGTGTGAGGCAGGGGGGAGGGGCTTGGGATGGGGGGCACTGGGGGGACTGGGTGTGAGGCAGGGGGGAGGGGCTTGGGATGGGGGGCACTGGGGGGACTGGGTGTGAGGCAGGGGGGAGGGGCTTGGGATGGGGGGCACTGGGGGGACTGGGTGTGAGGCAGGGGGGAGGGGCTTGGGATGGGGGGCACTGGGGGGACTGGGTGTGAGGCAGGGGGGAGGGGCTTGGGATGGGGGGCACTGGGGGGACTGGGTGTGAGGCAGGGGTGAGTGCATTGGGATGGGGGACGCTGCGGGAGGCCTGTCTCAGAGGGAGGGGTGGTGCATTTTGGGTTAGTGTGTGGTCCCAAACTGGAGGGAGTGGTGCACCTTTTGCTTAATAACTTTGGTCTCCCCCCTTTTTTTCCTCAACAGAATTTTTCCCAGCATCTTTTTTTTTGGGGGGGGGGAGGTGTTCGGTATTTTTTGTTAACCCATCTGGCAACCCTAGCCCAGGCTGTACCTGTGTCTGGGTCAGCCCCAGCTGCGCCGCCAGTTCCGCTCTTTCCGGGAGGGCCAGGTACTGGGTTTGCTGGAAGCGCTGGTTGAGTGCCTGGAGCTGCAGACTGGAGTAGATGGTGCGGGGCTTGCGCATTTTCTTCCCTTTGCCGTTGATGCGGATCTCACCATTCTCGATTACGGTGACTTTCTCCTGCTCTGGGATCAAAGGGCTTGGTTAGGCGTCTGCAGCCGGAGTCTGGAGACTGGAGGCCCCAGCACTAAGGGGCGGGCTGGGGGGGGCAGGTGGAGGAGGAGGCC